GCGTCTCTAAACTGAGGCAAGTGGTCGGTGACACATCAGAGCATGCAAACTTCCCTTCAAAAAGTGTTTAATCTGCATTAACGACCATCCCGTGCCATGTTTAGCCACCAGCGAGGATTTCCTTCTGGTTAGAGTTGGGCATTCTTTAGGCAACTTTACTTTCATGGTATTCCTGAGATCAGCCTAATGAAATCCAGTGCAAGATGTTGACTTAGGGTGTACAACAGAGGCCTCTTCTACACTGCCATATAAAATCCAGATGATTAAAGCAGATAATCCTCATTATCTGATTTGAACTGGATTATCTGAGTCTACACAACCATATAATCCAGTTAAATGAGTCCCACCCATGGGAGAAAAGCAGGATAAATGATGATGATGATGATGATGATGTTGATGATAATTCAAAGCAGATAATCTGGATTTTATATGGCAGTGTAGAAGGGGCCTGAGTAATCTGGTGTGGCAGAGACACGCATAGCTTAGTCTGCATTATTAGCACTGGGTCTCATGCACAAACCCTTTCAAACTTTCTTCAATTGATGTTACTAAACTATTTTGAATAAGGGAGAGTTCTTTTGTTTTTGCTCTTGTCACATCGTAGAAAATTGACAGTCCTTGCAGATCTATTACAAAAGTCACCTAATACTAAGTAACTTCCTGATAGACCAGTGATTCTCAACCTGTGGGTCTCAGATGTTTTGGTCTTCAACTCCCAGAAATAACAACAACTACTACTACTTTATTTTTATACTAATATTTTTCTGGGAGTTTATGACATATTGTTAATTTTAATGGTGTCAGGATTCTGGGAAGTTTCCTTTTCCATGGAATATTAAGAATAATGCCATAAAACCATTACTTAATATTTTATTATTGTTGCATGCTTTTGAGTCAGGTTTGACTCATACTAACCCTATAAATGTAAATCCTCCTTGCTTTTAACAGCTCTGATCACATCTTGCAAATTCAGACATAACTTTTAGCATACCATTTCTATCCCTTGTGAAGTAGGAAAGAGCTTTTTAAAAAACGAATGTAATCTTTAATCACAATGGTGTTACTGTTTATTGACTGATATAGAAAATACAGAAATGATATTAAAGTGCCATTTCAGAAAATACAGAAAAATAATATTAGTAATATTATTACTATAATTGTAATAGAAAGGTTTAATCTTCTTTTCAAGAACTGGATGATCTGCCGCCGAGCACAAAGTGCTGGTTTTAACCTTTAAACCCCTGAATGGTTCTGGCCCAGATTACCTGTCCGAACATATTTCCTGCTATGAACCACTGTGAAGTTTAAGATCAGCTGGGGAGGCCCTGCTCTCGATCCCACCATCATTGCAAATGCAACAGGGTGGGACAAGGGACAGGGCCTTCTCAGTGGTGGCCCCTCACCTATGGAACTCTCTTTCCAGTGACATCAGATTAGCCCCCTCCCTCTTGTCCTTTATAAAGAAACTCAAAACCGGTTATGGGACCAAACATTCAAACAGTAGAGTCAGCAATCAAGAAGTAGACTCAAGTGATATGAATGATAATAGACTGACCCGGACTCTGATTTTAAACCTGCGTGATTTTAAACAAATGTCTTATTAATGTAGTGTTTTTAATAAATTGTTTTAAATTTATTCTATTTATGACAGGGGTTGGCATTTGAATGAATGCCTGTTGTGAAGCTGCCCTGAGCGCCCCGCCCCCCCAAGGGACGTGGTGTGCGAAGGACAGGATACAAATATGCAAAATAAATCAATAAATAATATCTGGTCATACAGTTGTGGATTTCCTCGAAAAATGGGAAATTCCACATTGATATGGTTTGTGGGCTGTATGGCCATGTTCTAGAAGCATTTTCTCCTGATGTTTTGCCTGCATCTGTGGCAGGCATCCTCAGAAGTTGTGAGATCTGTAGGGAACTAGGAAAATTGGGTTTATCTATCTGTGGAAGATCCAGGGTGGGAGAAAGAACTCTTGTGTTTTGGAGCTTGGTGTGAATGTTTCAATTGGCCATCTTGATTAGCATTTGGTGGCCTGACAGTTTTTAGGTGTGGCTTGTTACTACCTGGTAAAATCCTTTGTTGAGAGGCGATTAGATGTTCCTGTTTGTTTCTTGTCTGGAGTTCCCCCGTGTTTAAGTTTTGTTCTTTATTTACTGTTATAATTTTAGAGTTTTTTAATACCGGTCATGAACTGAATCCCTTCACCTCTCTCCCCACCAATACGTGACAGCAGCAACAGGCCTCCCCAAGCAATAAGAAGGACTAAAAGAATAAAAGAATACACTTCTCCATGCCAATCCAAATGCATATAAGTAAATACATGTAACTGATTAACTAAATACCCAACATCGTATGCTGCTTTGAGATGATTGAAAAGTGAAATATTAATAACCAGATAGATAAACTGTGCCAGCTATCAAACTGGGGTTCCAAACATTCAACCCCTTCTGCGGAAATTGTGCCCTTTGTCCAAGGAGGAAAAAACCCCAAAAGAAAACAAACTGTCTTTTAGCAAAGAAAGATTTATATGAAGGTATTTACAAATAAAGCAGTGTCCTTAGAATATTCAGCTGCTTCCACATGATGGCTTGTAAACACAAAGTTCTTATCTCCAAATAAGACGCCACAGTCTTGCTCTTCAGACGTTGTAGCAATAATACACCTCTGGCAACTCCAGCTCCAGCCTTGAGCTCCAAACTCTCTCTCCAATCTTCAGCCTTTCTTCAACCCATTTCCAGCCTTGAGTAACACAATGTACTTAGTCTCTATTAGTAGTACTTCAACTCCCACAGGTGGCTTGATTGTTGCTGGCCATACAATGATTGGACATGATTCTTACAATCACTTACCCATTTTTCACTTTAGAAATGACCTAAACAATATAAAACTCTGACATAAACTAGTTCTTGGGTGAAAATAGCTTTTGAAGCTTCAAGAATATTGGCAAAGAGCCTGAGCAACAAATTCTGAAAACCTTCCTTGTAAAATCCATTGTTTCTTCAAACTGTTTCATCCTCAGTATCTCCCTGCATCCCTCGGCAATTTGAGAATGCCACCTATCACAAATTACAAGAAAAAATATGCAAAGTAGTCTGGACATTAAAAGGGAATTTTAAATACTATGTTTTGTGTTATATATCTGAGTCTGTTTCAGTGAAGCAGTAATAGGACAAGTTCGGGCAGGGTGAGGCCCAATAGTTGTGCTCAAGCTTTAGAAATAGAAGAAACAGAACAAAAGCCAAACCTAAGTAAAGACTACTGGAAAAGGGTTCATTACCTAAATCCAATGTTACCGCTTTCTAGACTACTGAAATGATGGGACCAATTCCCATGTTTCAATTGATCTACTAAGATTGGAAAACAATTAAAGTGAAGAATGGAAGGGAATTAATGGGCTAGTAAATGTAAAGGTAAAGGTTTTCCCCTGGCATTAAGTCCATTTGTGTCCAACTCTGGGAGTTGGTGCTCATCTCCATTTTTAAGCTGAAGAGCCAGCGTTGTCCGTAGACACCTCCAAGGTCATGTGGCTGGCATGAATGCATGGAGCGCCATTAATTAATGGACTAAATCCAACAAATCCTTTTTTCATTCTTTCTTTCCATTTCTTCATTCAAAATAATATTGTTTCATCATACAGTGAAGACTGATGCTTTTTTTAAAGGAGGGAAACAGTTGTTTAAAGAGTACTGGGAAGGAATTATGTGGCCCTCTGGATGTTGTGGAAATGCAGATCCAACGCTCTTCATTCTTGGGCATGCTGCTTGCTGAAGTTAAAGTCTAACATGATTCCCCATCCCCCTTTGTGAAATCAATATCATTTGGAGAAACAGAATAAAAAGTTTGAACACAACCATCTAACTCCAAAAGCAATAAATGTGGAAACTAAGAAGTAAATAAGGTTGTCAGGAATTTTGAATCAAATGGAGTTTACTTGATTCAGCATCAGAAGAAGTTCTGCCCATGCTGCAGTGTTTTTGGACAGTGGTTCTTAACCTGTGGGTCTCCAGGTGTTTTGGCCTACAACTCCCAGAAATCTCAGCCAAATCTCAGAAATCCAATTCTTAGGATTTCTGGGAGTCATAGGGCAAAGCACCTGGGGATCCACAGGTTGAGAACCACTGTTTTAGGATGACAAATCCCAGAATCCCCGAGAAGCTGGCCATGTTGACTATTGGATTCTGGGAGTTGTCGCGAAAAATATTTTACCTTGCCAAGCTGTATTCTCATTGGGCAGCTCTGAAATGGTAAAAACAGTCCCTTGTTTCCACAAGGCAATTTTTTCCAAAATCCAATTATCACAGGGACACAAAGTGAGGTGAAATCTTCTGAACAGGGCCACAGATAGCAAAACAACCACAGGAGTGTTAGTGCTTTCCTATGCTATCCTAACCTTCCCTCTCTCCCCCCCCCCCCATCGATCTGTCTACCTATACCTATACCTATACCTATATTTGACTGGAGTTATAGTTTAAAAGGAGCCCCCGGTGGCACAGTGGGTTAAAGCGCTGAGCTGCTGAGCTTGTTGACCGAAAGGTCGCAGGTTCGATTCTGGGGAGCAGCGTGAACTTCCACTGTCAGCCCCAGCTTCTGCCAACCTAGCAGTTTGAAAACATGCAAATGTGAGTAGATCAATAGGTACTGCTCCAGTGGGAAGGTAATGGTGTTCCATGCAGTCATGCCGGCCACATGACCTTGGAGGTGTCTATGGACAATGCCGGCTTTTGGCTTAAAAATGGAGATGAGCTCCACACCCCAGAGTCAGACATGACTGGACTTAATGTCAGGGAGAAACCTTTACCCTATACTTTAAAAATATTCGGAAACATACAAATTAACTTAAAAACAGACTCGGGGACTGCCTGTATTTTCATTCTTGTTCAATTTCCATCCTGTTATGGAACAGCAATGTCACTCACATTTAAGGGAATAGAACCAAGAAAATCCCCCAAATTTTTCCAGCCATCATTAGGAAACAAAACAATAAAATAAAACAAGATTTAAAACATATAAAATACTTTATTACAACAGTAAACTTTTTATATACACTTGAAATATGTACAAGGGGAAAAGAAACTCGAGGTTCAACTGACCAATCTGATGCTTTGTCAAAACACTTTCCTGCATATGGAATTCCACAAAGTGCATTTTAATGCGTATTCTAAAGACTCAAAAGTCCACTCAGATTTCTCTCGCTAATGACAAAATGTAAATTAACCATGGGATTTTATCATTTAGTACTGAAGGAATGTCAGATATATTGTTCACCTGAAAGGACTAATAAGATAGTCATCTGAAAAATGTCATAATGAAGCCAGGAAGTCGGATAATCAGGAATATCTGAATATCTAATATATGGAGCAAACTCTTTATCTGATTTTTCACAATTCAACAAACTAGACATATTTACACATCTGGAGAGCAAAGCTCCCTGTTAAACTATTTTGTTGAACACAAAATCTTGCTATGACATAAATTATGTTAAACTTTTAAAAGTGTATTGCCTGTCTTCTTATGTAGCAATGGCAAGCATAAACCATAGGTGTGACTAAAATATGTACTGACTGGTTACAGGTATGAAGAAACTTTTCAGGTATTCTGACTGTCAAAATTTAAGACAGACTAGCATATAACAAGCTATTGGATGTCAAAGGACAGAAATGGACACAGTGTGACCATAAAAATAGCCCTCTCCTCACAACCACACTTGTTGACAGTTCAGTTTTAACATTGGGGAAAGTGTTGGAAATTCACAAATATGCCAGTTTAACAGGTGGTATTGGAAATAATATAATAATGGGTGAAATGAAGTTCACATCCTAACAAGGTACGGCGGTAAATCGTAGTGAATCCATCAAGGAAAACTCCACAGCAGCTCTGGCATCAATTTGAAGTAATTCTGCAGAAACAAACAAAAAGTTATGTATAGTTTAATTAGTGACATGGTTATTGCAAATTTTTTATATATTGTTTTGAAACATTTCACCATAGGACCCTTACAAATTTAACCAAACTGAAACAATTATGAAGCGGCATTATTCATTAATGAAACAACAGTTAAGTTTTTGTGGCTATAATGTATCAGAGAAGGGCATTGGTAAAATAAAGCAAATTATTGTACTGGAAAGTGTGGACATATTTTAGCTACACTACATTGGTCAAGGGCTGTGAAACAGCTCCTGCCACAGCACCAGGCAGTGTGGGAAGAGGAAAGACACCCACACTGCTTTTTAATACTGTATTTGTGTATTTAATTATGTAGTTTTGAAAGTTTTATTTTTAAAAATTATTTTCAAATCATGATTGGTCAAATCTATGGAACTAGATCCCACTGTATACATAATTTTTCAGATTAGACCAGTGGTTTCCAAACTTTGATCTTCACAGTGTTTTTGGACTTCTGGTTTTCAGTGTGGCTAAAAGTCAGGAAGGTAGGAGCTGAAGTGCAAAACATCTGAAGAGTCAAAGTTTGGGAACTACTGGGTTAGATACTTCCATAACCTATGAGGGGATCCTACTGGATTGTGTCCATTTATTGAATAGCCATAAGCAAAATGAAAGAAGAGCACATCAGAACCCTAAGGCAATGTATTTTTGTATGCAAAGGCTGCCTTAGCCATCTCTTAAGATAGAAAAAAAAACCTGCATTCTTTTAAAAAAGCCTAAGATGCTTCTGATGTTTAAAAATCAAGGACCCTATTACTTAGGTAGAAATGGGGAGATTAAGATGTTTAAACTTTTTCACATATTTTGTCTCTGAATACGTGATAGCCCTTTCAGATAGAATTATTCTCAAACTGCTGAGGAAACAGAGAATGCTAATGTACCAATGAGTTTGCAGCTCAAGTTCTTTGCCAATATGCCGTTATAGTCCTGTGGATACAGTGGGCCTAGTGTACATCTCAGAAAGACTTGCATGGAGAAACTTTGTAAATTATGCTTATCCTGCATATATCTATTCAATCTTCAGTTATACTTCATATGTTAAACTGAAAGTTTTTATACCTGTATTTGTTGCATCTATGGCAGCTTCTGGGTCTTGAAAAGTAAGATCAAAGGAAAAACTTTGCATGCCAGTTTCATTAAGTAGGAATCCCTTCTCGCCAACACAAGTCTGGTGCCAGTTGGAGTTGTTAAAGAGCTGCTAGAAGACAAAATACCAAAGAGAAATTAAATTATTAGTTTCCAAGGTCTTGATTACATTAAGTTTAATAGCCACTATAATCCATATCTTCAAAGGGACAGGACACAAGATAGATGTAAATAGAATGTGTAATCCCTTTGTCAACCCAAATAGTAAAGAATTATAAAAGAATTATATGATTTTTTGTTTTTTTTAAAAAAATTCAGTACAAGTTAGGCTGTAATAACTGCCAATGCCAGATTTGACGTTGTAAACGCATCTCATAAAAACGAAAGCAGCACCTTCTTTTGTTCTTCATTATAATACACACTCCTTGTGAGCCTTGCAAAGAGTCTGTAAATATGTTCACTTAAAAGTAGCATCAGGCAACAGTGGAAGTGGCTTGTCACCACATCTGCTGCAGCCCTACATCATTTTAATGCAGACTTGAATCAAGTGCAATTTTTGGTATTTGTAGGGCGTCTTGGAAGTCATCTCCTGTGGATACAGGGGGCCTCTTGTATTGGCATGTATATTGCCTAGTTCTCAAGGACACACATAAGAAGTTCAGATGCAGGATATTCTCTTATTTTAATGGTCATGACAACACTTATAGTTCTAGATGGGGTAAGGCTATTTAAATGTCTTTCTGTTTACATGGAGCCTGCAAGTTACCTTATACTGAAACATTAAGCCCAATACTTGTGGTGGATGGTGGCTTCCATGTCAGAATGGCAGTGAATCCCAAATTTTAACACAATTGTACAAGGTACTGATGATATTTGAGATGAGCAGGGTTCAGAACCTTGGACAGCTTCTTTATAGAGTTTGGGCTAAAACTTGAAGACGATTTATTACCTCACCTGTGTGGAAGCCAGAAAACACCATGTTCCAGCATTGGCCAGTGGTGACCCCATGACAATGCAGGCTTCACCAAAAAACTTAATTTTTTTGTCTTAACAGGCTAGTCCCTTACTCTTTGACTGTGGTTCACTGAATGGTGATGACATTCCTTCACATTACATTTGCGTTTATTTATATTATGGATCTGGTTTTATTTTGTTTTATAATTTCATTATATTTTATTGCTTTTAATAGTCCCTGGCTCCTCTGAGAGATCTCCAGATAGGTGGAATAGAAGTGTTTATATAGACCAGTGGTTCTCAACCTGTGAATTTCCAGGTGTTTTGGCCTACAACTCCCAGAAATTCCAGCCAATTTACCAGCTATTAGGATTTCTGGGAGCTGAAGGCCAAAACATTTTGAAACCCACAGGTTGAGAACCACTGATATAAACATATTGACAACCTATAGTATTCCAGAGCTGTTATACTACAGTTCCCATCAATCCTGACCTCTGGATATGATGGCATTAGGTGCTGGAAGTTAAAAGTTAAGGGTAGCATCTGGAGAGCCACATGAGGTTCCTCAGTTCCAAAGTTCCAGATGTATAGTATCTCTCAGGACCTCTTTGGGAGGAGACAGCAAAGCAGCTGTTGCAGTGATCTGCACATATGGACATAAAATTATACCCAAGAGCATTTTGGAATAAAGAGAAAGTCTTACCGGGTAAAAATCTTGAGGAAAGCGGTCATCATCTTCATCAGTTACTGTAATGTTTGATGGAATTATTGGAAAGAGAGAGAAGAAAGAAGAAGAATGAGTATTGCTCAGGAGTTTTTGTTGACTTGGTTTACTATTTTTATTTCTCTATTTTCTGCTACCAATAACTACTTAGTAGATGCCTGAAATGCTAAAGTTTTAAATAATGTATCAGTCTTGGCATGAATCCTATTTAATCCCAGCTGAAAGACAGCCACTACATCAACTGTTGAATGGTGGGTTGATAGGCAAATTCAGTTGATTAAATGGATCTGTTCCAATGGGGACAAACTATAAAGTTTAAGGTCCATATTTGCACAAGTATAGTTACTGACTTCTGTAGATTTATAGTACTGTAATAGGTATGTGCATCATTCCTTTCACAGGAAATGGCACAAACCAACTAGGGGTAAACACATTCAGTCTCACATATTCCAGTGCATGACTTTTAGATTGATCCAAAATCAATGGGTTGTAAAAGTGCTGACTTTGCACATATTTATTTGTTCTTTATTTTATTTTGCATTTTCATTAAAGATAGCTTTCAAGGAGTCTAAGGAACTGAGTAAGTTCTATCTTTTAAGACAATGAAACCTCACCCTGACTTCCTGCCTTTTTGTATTCTTAATTTCTCTTCTCAATATAGTTCTAATTAGCTACCCAACTGCTATGAACAATTAAATACTAACCATCAGAGGAGGATGGAATAGGTGACACTTGAAGTGGGTAGATGTCATTTGTGCTGTCAGGTAACTGCATTTCCATTGAGTGAGGCCTCCAGTCAGTATTAGTTAAGTCACATGTAGCAAGATCTGCAAAATTCATAGAAAAATGTCAGATTATAATAAAAGAAGTTATTTCCTAGGGTTATCCCTAAGAATCTTGAATCTTTTTTATTCTAACCTCTTCACTACTGCAAGATATGATCACCAACTTGCTAGTTCATGGGGAATAGGCATATCAAGCAGAATGTGAGATGCTGAGTAAAAAATAGCAATTTTTGTACTCATAACTTGATCATGAATTTCCCATAGGACTCTGGTTTGTCATGAGGCTGCTGTAGAAAGCTGCATTAGGCAGGCTATGCATATGCCTTCAAGTCATCTGTTGACTTAGGGGACTCCATGAATAGTGTTTCCTAGGGTTATTATGATCTGATATGGTTTTCTTAGACAAGAGGTGGTTTGCACAGATATTTCTCAATGGGATCAATTATTACAATATAAATATCCCATGGAAGGTGACAGTGGATGATGACAAGAGAGACTTGGTATTCTAGGGATACTTCTCTATCCCTCTACTTTTAAGCATCATTATGTGAACCAAGCATCCTGAAAACCACTGAGTTTCTCACCTAATGTGCTTCCCACTTCCATTTCCGGTGAGGAGTAACTGGAAAGAGCATATCCACTGTGATCATCTGGTAGCTGGATACTGTTTGTTGCTTCAACTGTCTCTTCTTCTTTGATATCTTCTTCCACTGACTGCAAAAAATAAAATAAAAATGGGAGACCTATTTAATTGCACAATCTCTACCTAGGTATTGTATGCAGTCATATTGGGAAAAGAAAGCATCACTTAAGTGACTGGAGATACCAGCTTCTTAAGCACAGACAATACATGCACATTTCTACATCAAATTGCCATTTGAGTCATCTCTTAGAAACTGATATTCCAGGCAAAAGGTTTTAGCATAACCAATCTGTTGCGGTTTTGCCTTCAATGTTTGAGATTATTTGCAGTTTAGTTTAATTGCCTATTTTATCTTGTTGAAGCCTCAGGGTGAAACCTTAGATAGATAATACATGAATAAGGATGGTGGAAAGAAGTGGGAGCTCAGCCAGACGTATTCTGGAAAAACTGTATTACATTCATGCTTAGGCAAAATGAGCAAAATACTTTCCCTTTGAAAAGTATCCTAACTATGCAGCTTGATTAGCCTTCAGAAACTCACAAACCAGCATCTTGTACAACTCAGCATGATGTAGTAGTTCCACACATGGAACACAGCTTCCCATTCAACACACCATGGACCTGCCATAGAGTTACTGTAGCTCAGTCCCTATGACCAGTCTGTGACTGGTGGAGATAGTGATAGGTGAGGTCAGAGAAATGCCTGGCTATGTCCTTCTTGCCAGGTGCAGTTATGACATCAGCCACTGCAGTCCACTAGTGGTTTTATCAGATAATGTAATAATTTCGCATCTTGTTCTGTGGACATAGTCAGATGCTTCTTTGCAGCCATTGAATAGTATCCTTGAGTGGGCTGTAGAAACTTTATGTTAAGTCCAGTGGAGGTGTTTTAGTCATTCCAGTGATAAGGAAATAGCAATCTCTTTTTTCAGTGACCAAAAATAGGCATAATAGGCAATCAAATAGGCTTAAGATTGACTTGCACCTGCATACACCATTGATAGGATGCTATTTATAGCAGTGATTCTCAACCTGTCGGTCCCCAGGTGTTTGGCCTACAACTCCCAGAAATCCCAGCCAGTTTACCAGCTGTTAGGATTTCTGGGAGTTGAAGGCCAAATCATCTGAGGGCCCTCAAGTTGAGAACCACTGATCGATAGCAGGCCTGTAGCGAGGGGGTGGTTTTAGGGGTTCAACCCCCCCCCGAAATGTTTCAGATTTTTTTAAAAAACCTGGTTTACTCATGAATTTTAACTGGTTAACCAAATCCCCATGTTAAGTCTATGAGATGCAAAAAATTAAGAGTCCCTCCAGAACTGTAAGCACTACCTCAAGCAAATATTGACAATTTATTCACACTGTCATTACTTGCAGCAATAGCCGATGTAGTGAAGCAACCAAGTTGGGTGTGTGTGTTGAATGCTCTCATTAAGGAGGCCAGACTTGGTGGAGGTGGTTGACAGGGGTGGAGCTGCAGGCTATGGAAGTGTTTTGCCCCCTGCTGTGCTCTTTGTTTCAGCGTGAGCTAGGGGGCAGGCTTCAACCCCCGCCCCTGAAATTTTCAACCCTCCCCAAAATTGTCAAACCCCCCCCTCAAAATTGTCAACCCTCCCCGAAATTTTTTTCTGGCTACGGCCCTGATCGATAGGGTTCTATAAAGACTTATTCATACTTAGAGCAAATGCACTGAAAGCATCACCTCTCAGTCCATAAGGGCCCCAGAGCTAATGAACAAATAAAAACCATTGGAAACAATACAGGGATTTTTAAAAACTTATAAATACTCCTGAAAGTAGCTTAAAACTAATCCTAGATTCCAGTTTTAGAACAGTTTAAACAGCATTTTAAACGCTGAATGTGATTGTTTTGGCTACCCACCAGAGGCTTAAAAGAGGTGGGGTCAATCTATCATCCGTGGGGAGGGAGTGCCACAAGGAAGGCATTGCTTAATGAAGGAGTGATTACTAAGAACTCTTGGAAAGCCCTCTTTTCTGAGCATGAACCCTGTTCCCTTCACAGAAAATAAATTAAAACCCAAGCCTCCGAGACCTAGGTCATGATTCACTTCTTAACTACCAAAGTGAATATATACATACCTTTTTCACACTCTTGGCTCTTATGGACTTTGACTTTTTTTCTGCTCAAGAAAAATGGAAGCACATATTTAGTACAAAGAAAGAAGTGACATATAGTTCAGACAGCTGGAGAACAATTGAAATACCAATCTTAAGTCTTGCACAAACAGTTCTCTTGTGACTTGCAATACTAATCCATCATGGCAAAATGGAGTCACCCTTATGTTACTCATACAAAACTGTATCTAGCACTGGAATACTGTCCCACTGATTTTAGTTAAACTTCACAGACTATAAGAGTGACAATTGGATGACCACAATGTTGTGGAGGCCAGCAGTCTCATCTGGAACAGATGAAACTGACAAAAATTAATTTCCAAAAACACAGCATTTGGTAGAGATTCTGTCCCTGACCCTGGAGGCAGCACATAGTGACCAAAGTTAATAGCCACTGGCAATCTTCTCTCCATGAATTTGTATAATCACTTTTGAAAATGAGGCAGGTTGGTGGCCATGCCATGCCTCCTTGACTGATCATGCAAACTGCTATCCAAAGAATCTTCTACATGACCTTTTGGCAATGGTCACCATGCATGTGTATGGCCCTTCTCCTAATCATAAATGATGACTACCATTCAAGAAAAGTATGATAACATGTCAAAATCATATTCTGAAACCAAATCTCTGTTGGGGGGAAGGCACATTTCACAACTATCCCCTTTTTAGAATAATACCTTTTTTCTGTGTTTTAGCCGAGGTTTCCAGCATCCTGTAAACGCGAACAGCACTGGAACCTTTGCTAATGCTTTTGTCCTTCACCTCTTCAATATCAGGCAATGAATTCATGGCACAGCGGAAATTCGCCTTCCATGTTTTAGGATCTGGCTGAACATCACCTTCTTTGTATCTCCCTGTAAAGTAGCAGATAACATAGATCTGGTTGAATGAGAAATAACATCTTACGACAAATCCCACTCATGGTCTGACAAGAACCCAGATTTACACATCCGTGTGTTTGATGGTGACTCCTTTAAGTCTGCATTACCCAGCATAACTCACATATTTGAACATGAGTTGAAGCTATACTTAATTTTTATTGTTCTTTTATTCTTAATTTTGATTATTATTTTCACCAATCACTCTATTTTAAGCATGACTGCAGTACTGGTCATGCTTTCATTTGTTATATGCCAATTGGAAGGTATTTCAATATCTCTGTCCTCAGGAAGGCATGACACCTTGACACGGAATTGCAACACTATGTATAATTCTTTGGAGACAAAAAACACACTTTAGATCGCTTAAGAAGGTCAACCCCATGGTCAATCTAATAATATTAGATGAATAAGTAAATAAATTTAGTTGTAACATCAGATGTACTGAGAAGCATAAATAAGGGTCAATGAATGTAGGAATTGCAAGTTTCCATCCGGAATGCTATTGGATACTTGCCAACCACTTGCCACATTGAGCCTAGCCAGACTCTTAAGAGTTGGGTTCAAATGTTATTAACTTGGCAGAGGACTGCACCATTTCTTTCGCTGAATATGAGCCAGAAACTGGTCTTAGTTTGTGGCTACATCATGGAAAGCCAATCAACTGACAAGTAAAATACACTTCAATATTAGCCACACCCTGGCATGCAAATATTCTGGATTTCTTTGAGTTGGATTTGGCCACTATGCACAACAACCACAACTGTCCAGGAAAGTGTTTGTGGGATAGGGAGAAACAGGCAGGCTGTAAAGAGCTACTCTTTCTGCTAATCCCACAAAACAAATGGTCTCATATATGGCTACACAGAAGGAACCTCTAGAAACAGTATGTCTTGGCCTCTAATAACAATAAAACCAACACATACCAGTATGGATGGCCCAACTTTTGAAAAGGGAAGCATCTTTCTCTAAGTCCCAACCATGCTTAGCAGCATGTTTCCATGGGATCTGGAACAGCTTCTCCTCCTGCAAGACAGTACCAAGTAGATGTCAGTTGGCTTCGTATGTAAAACAAAAGTCATGAATACAAAGACATTTTTCAACAAAGAAAGTATTATAGTCTACTCTACATAGTATCTCCATGTAGCTATTGTACTGTCAATATACTTTTCCTACTACTATATCAACATTATTACGTAATGTATAATTATTAATATAATAATAGCAGAATTAGGAAGACATTTGATATCCACCCTTTTTGATTTGGTGTCATTTGTTGTAACATTATTCTAGGGAACCAAACAAAACCCACTGTCAACTTCCTTGGAAGATCAACCTGGAGGCAGGCATAGAAAATGCCTTCTCTGGGTAATGGAAAAGTCCATTTTATTGCTCTCAGAAGAAAAAGCTCTCACAGTTTTGACTGACTCAAGTCGATCAGAGGACCTGAGGGGAAGTGGCAGATTATATGAGAGAAGGCAATTCTGTAGGTAACCATGTTGGGCTTTAAAGATAATAAGCAACACTTTGTACTTTGCTTGAAAACTAATTGGTACCAAGAGTAGTCTTAGCCAAGGTTTCTAATATTGAGGGATGCTATGAGTTGTAATCTAAATAACATGGCATTATTTTTCTGACCATAATTTGCTATTTACCCATACCTTGTTGTCATATCAAATTAAATGTTTCTTGTGTTTTGAATTTTAAATAGAAAATATTTCACGTTGGCCCTTTATATAAAAAGCAGAGTAGATTTTAAAAGCATTCTCATACCTTATTAAGCCACAGAAGTCCCGCAAATGCATTGGAATTTATTTGTTTCTCTAGCCAAGGTCTCATGCGCATTCTTGTTTGTGGCATTTTGACTCTGAAATGGAAAAAAAAAACGCAAGTTATAGCAAAACTGTAATGTCATAGCAAAGAGAAGTTTCATTTCAGGAGTAGATTCATTTAAAAAATCTATTGGAATCCAGCACTGGTGACCTGTTTTGAACTACAATCCTGTGAACAGACTGATCAGAGACTTAATGCACACATGGAGGACGGCACTGTAAATCAACACCTGCCAATATTTCTGTCACATCAGCCTGTAGTGTCATGGAAATCTTGTCTGTCTTCCACAGAACTTGAGCATGCTTCTATACTATTCACTCTGTTCAAGGGGTCTTTCACCACCCTCCTAAGCTTAATGATATTTTTTTAGACATCTGAGTTGCTTACAATTAAAACATTACAGCACCTTAAAAAACATTTTTATGTCACTAATCTGCCTGTTTATTAATTTTTTCTCCCAAAAGAAAACACTCAAATCAATTAGTCCAACATGGCTATTGCGCGAACAGCTCCGATACATTTCTGAAGAACACAAAGGCTCTACCTCATAGCATTTGTTCGTCCCTTCCTCTTTGGCAGAAACAATGCCCTACATGTCCCAACAAGTTTCTGATATGCGCTGTATATTGTACCATTATACAAATTTGGAGTGTGCACCTGAAGAATCAGGTTTTATCCATATTTGGTGAGGCGCATTTGGTGTATGCTTCTGGATAGACTCCAGATTAAAGGGTGCTCTGAAAGGTGGTGAAAACCACTGCACCCAGCAGCCATCGACAATAGCAACTTTAGCAGGACTTTGAGGGGAGTGGGAAAACAAGCCATAGCTGCAAAGCAGGGAAGAGGACCCATTTAACCCAATTTACAATGGAATATTGTAAATAATGGGTGGGGTGAGGTAGAGAAAGGATTGTAAATTATTCTATATAGACTTTGAAGGAAGTGCCTTAAAATGATCTGGGTAAAAGTGGACCACCTTACTCAGAAAAGCACTGAATGACCAAACGCAAACAAAAACATTAGAAGAGCTCTTATAGTGGAAGCTGCCCACTATGAGAGCTGTTCTTATAGTGGGCACAGCTACATGCCCATAAGTTACACCGAACAGTCAAAAGACACTTTTAAGTATACTTTGTACACGTAAAAGCCTTGATATCAAAAGGCCATAAAGACCTGCAAGTAGGCAGTTAGCAACAATGGGTCTGCCAATGTTGAGACATCTCATACATTAGGAATAGTTAGGGAGGGGGCTGCCATCTAACATTTGAATCCTAAATGCATTCGGCATACAAAACCATTTGTTTTCATAGGTCTGTATTAGAGAATTAAGACGATTGTGCCTTACTATCCACAATTAGCTCAGTCAGTCCCACTGATTTCCATGAGAATTGAATGCAAGGAAATGAAGGAAATATTTGGGACACAAATTCTTTTTTATCTCAGATGCAATCCCACAAATTTGTGGGTCAGTGCTGTACTGAAACATGGAGCTGATTTACAACCTTGATGTCTACAGGGCACAAGGGGTCAGCTATGTACAATATTCTTGGCAAGCAATTCCTAGGCCTCTTAAATTAAAGTTAGTCAAGAACTACGCTCAAAAGACGTACCTAGGTCTACTTGGGTTAAATGGGATTTAACAGTTGCTGAATTTCCTTTGCAATGTCACCGACAGACCCAGAGCACAGTTTCTTGTCTGTGCCAAGGGACTAGATGCGTCTTGTAGGCCACATTGCTGCAAATTGTTTCTTAAAACTTTGGAGGCATGTTTACAAAGCAGCGTGAGATACAGCGGGGAGAGGAGCCATTTGGCACCAGTCAACACAAACCCAGCCAATTTCCTGCTTGTGCTTTTCTGAATTGGGACTGTGCAAATTTCAGATTGCCGATTAACACTCTAAAGGACAACTGGGCATAATAATAATAACAACAATAATAACAACAATTTCTTAATAGATGTGGAGCTAGTAATAAGAGTCTAGTCTCAACTGTTATGATTCTGGAAGAAAAACAAACAGGAAGGAATGTTCCAAGAATGTCAATTGCTGCATAGAGGCCTCCCGCTGCCCTAATGGGGCTTTGTAATGGAAAGAAGCTTCCACACTCAGATTAGCTATGAGGGCTGCAGTTTAAGTGGTGGACTAGAAAGCACTTTGGAGACTAGGGTTCAAATTCTCGCTCAGCTATGGAAAACCACTATGGGCAAGTCTGTTGGCTTCAAAGGCAAAGGAAAAACCACTCTGGATAAATATATCCAGGGAAAGCCATGATAGGCCTTAGAGTAGGCCTGCACAACCTGTGGCCCTCCAGGTGTTTGGGCCTCTTAACCCCCAGCTCTAGCCAACTGTTCCAATGCCTGGGAATTCTGGGAGTTGAAGCCCAAAACACCTGGAGGGTTGCAAGATATGCAGGCCTGCCTTTGGGTAACCACAACTTGAAAAGAACTAATATAGAATTAATGTAGTTTGACGCCACTTCAGCTGCCATGGCTCAATGCTATGGAATCTGGGGAGTGGTTTAGCCTTCTCTGCCATAGAGTGCAAGTGCCTCACCAAATGACAACTCCCACAATCCCACAGCATTGCTGCATGGCAGTTCCAGTGGCATCGAACTGCAATAATTCTACTGTGTAGATGCCCCTGAAGATCCTCCAACCTTTTCCAACAGGCTTTACAAGACTTGTCTTGGCTCACTGGTACCGTTGGCTCACTAGCTTTATTGGCTGCTTAATATTTTAACAACTATCTTAATGATTGTGTGTCTATATAATTTATGCGTTATGTTTTCATATAAAATGTAAGGTAATTGGTTAGGTTAGGTTATTTAATTTTTGTTCAAATTTTGTCATTGCTGTTGTTTCTTTTTGATATTTCATTAGTTTGGTTTGCTTTGAGTTTTCTGGGCTGTATGGCCATGTTCCAGAAGCATTCTCTCCTGACATTTTGCCTTCATCTATGGCAGGCATCCTCAGAGGTTGTGAGGTCTTTGATTAGTTTGTTTTGGTATTTTTATTTATGAATGTGTTTGCCATTTAATGTTTACTATTTTTTGTTGGAATCCACCCTGAGTCCCCTTGGGAAGAGAGGGCGGAATACAAATAAAGTTTTAATGTATTGTCAAAAACTTTCATAGCCAGAATCACTAGGTTGTTGTGCATTTTCTGGGCTGTACGGCCATGTTCCAGAAGCATTCTCTCCTGACATTTTGCCTACATCTATGGCAGGCATACTCAGAGGTTGTGAGACATACCAACAACCCAAATAAAGTTTTATTATATTATTGTTGTTGTTGACACTGTGGATCAATGGGGCAAAGCTAGGTTGGTTTCCTGTACATTTCCTGCCATAGATGCAGGTGAAACATCAGGAGAGAATGCTTCTGGAAAATGGCCATACAGCCTGGAAAACTCACAACAACTGGAAAACTCACCTGTCAATACAATTAAACCCTACTTCGTCCCTTGGATCCCCTGTCCAGATACATTATATTGTTCTCTCACCTAGTGTTTTTAAACTTTTAAACTTTTATTCCCTGCCCACTATGATTAATTCTCTGTGTTCAAATATTGTGATTTTATATTGCCTGATGTGTTTATTTATTTATAATGTTTCTTGTATTTTATTTTAATATTTTATTGTTGTATTCTCATGTTGTACGTTTGCATTGTTGTACTGCTGGGCTTGGCCTCATGTAAGCTGCCCGAGTCCCTTTGGGAAGAAGGTGGCAGGGTAGAAATAAAGTTTTATTATTATTATTATTATTATTAACCCAAATAAAGTTTTATTATATTACTATTGTTGTTGTTGACACTGAAGATCAAGGGGGCAAAGCTAGATTGGTTTCCCTGCACACTTTGCTTCATTTTTACAGGTGTTACTTCCTGGTCCCAACAATACCTCTCTTTGCGTGTTTAACAAATGGAATAATAGATGCAGCCAAGGGCCAACCTGGGCCCTCTGTCCAGGTGTTTTGGACGTTGACTCCCACCATTCCTAACAGCCTCAGGCCCTTTCCTTTTCCCCCTCAGCTGCTTAAGCTTAAGCGGCTGAGGGGGAAAAGGAAGGGGCCTGAGGCTGTTAGGAATGGTGGGAGTTGAAGTCCAAAACACCTGAACAGATAACCCAAGCTGGCCCAGGTCTGGTCTTGAGCCTTCTCTGCCCCAAAGTGATGCCTTGCCAAACTACAAGTCCCACGATTCCATAACACTGAGCTTGGGAAGTTGAAGTGAGTTCAAATGAGCAGAATTCAAGAGTCTTGCTGCCCGCTCCCCCCTTCCTCTCCCACCTTGGAAGCAACCCAGAGAGGATCCATCACAAGGGAGCCCTCTCTTTTCCTGGCTCGAGGCGTGAACTTTTGATCTCCCCCCGTTTCCAAGTGTCCCAGCATCCGGTTTGCTCACGTTGGAGTAACTTCTCTGCCAGCCTCTGAGCCTGAGCAACTATGGACCTCCCCCTCCGACCTTGGCCTCCGCTCCCCTTCTGCAGGAAACGGGCGCGACTTTTTTTCTATTGCCGGGCTTTTGCCGCGCGCACCGGGGACCTGAAGAGAGAAGCCTCCCACAAGGATGGGGGGACATCCGGGCGCCCCCTGGGCAACGTCAATTCTCTCACACCAGAAGCGACTTGCAGTTTCTCAAGTCGCTCCTGACACGGAAAAAAAAGATTGCTTTAAAGTGACTTCCAACGGACTTGTTGGAAGAAATAGGTGCCCAGTTCACTCCGCTGCAGCGCCTTCCCCTTCGGGTGAATCTACACTGCAGGATGAATACGGTTTGGCACCACTTTACCCGCCCGTGGCTCAATGCTATGGAATCCTGTGAGCTGTCGTTGGATGAGGCGCCAGCCCTCCTTGGCACACAACCCTCCTCCTGATTGCATAGCATGGAGCCATGGGATCAAGCCGCATTCATTCCACCGTGTAGATGCCTGCATGCTAAAGAAATCCTTGCAGAGCTCGAAGGGAGCTCTTGTTTGTTACCCGTGCAGAGGAGAAACTTGCACCGAAGTGAAGCCAAATGCCACAAGGAAATAAATAATAATAATAATGTATATATATATTATATTATATTACGTATAATATATAATAATAAAGTATATATATATATATTATATATATAACACAGAATAGATTATATATAATATATATAATACAATATAATATAATATACATCATATATGTGTGTGTGTGTGTGTGTGTGTGTGAACTTGCAGGTTCGAATTCGGGGAGTAGGGTGAGCTCCCGCTGTTAGCCCCAGCTTCTGCCAACCTAGCAGTTCGAAAACATGCCAATGTGAGCAGATCAATCAGTACCGCTCCGGCGGGAAGGTAACGGCGCTCCATGCAGTCATGCCGGCCACATGACCTTGGAGGTGTCTATGGACAACGCCGGTTCTTCGGCTTAGAACTCGAGATGAGCACCAACCCACAGAGTCGGACAGGACTGGACTCAATGCCAGGGGAAAAACTTTACCTTAATATAATCATCATCATAAATAATAAAAGTGTGATCCAATACAACAGCTATCATAGTTATCTTGTTTGCTGTGTACTAATCTTGTTGTGTATCAAATAATAATAATAATAATAAATTATTATTATTATTATTATTATTATTATTATTTTATCATCCCTGAAAGGAGACTCAAATCAAAATCAGAGTGCAAAGAAGTTCCTCGGACCCACCTTCTTCGCTTCTGTCGCGGATGGGCTGCACGGGCTTGCTTTCCTCCTGGCTGCAGAGCAGAACCGGGCTGATGCCTGTGCCTGGCCCTGATCTCCCTGCTCCTCTGAGGTCTCTCTAGGCTCCTCTTTCTTTCTCCGTCCGGGTCTGGCACCTTCTGCCCGCGCTGGACCCAGGGCGGTGTGGTATATCTCCCGCAGGTCCCTGGGAATCCCCAGCCGAGGGAGCCGTGCGTGGCGTCCAATCAGCGCCGCCGAGGGGAAGGGCTCCGCCAATCAGCGCCCGGCAGGGAGTCCGCTTCGAGCGCCGCATCATTTCGGGGAAATCAGCCTGTTGTAGCACCAGAGACCGAAGGGGAAGTCCGGCTTCCCTGGCCCCGCCCCTCGGCCCGCGGCCCTGGAGCCTCGTTGGCTACTCCCGGCTGGGAGGGAGAGCCAGGGAGGGCGCATCTACACTGCAGAATGAATCCAGTTGGACACCGCTTGCATTGCCATGGCTCAATACTTTACAGTCGTGGGAGTTGCAGTTTTGGGGAGGCAGCAGTACTCCTTGGCAGATGGGGTTCAAGTCCCCCATTACTCCATAGCAATGAAAAGGGTGCTAAACTGCATTCATTCTACAGTGCAGATGGGCTGGGACTTGGGACATCCAGTTCTAACCCATACTTACTACTTCATCACACTAGAGAATGAACCCACTTTAAATCTGATTGCTGCCTCCTGCAGAATTTTGGGGTTTGTAGTTTAGGGAGGAGCCTTTAACAGCCTCACTTTGGGCGCCTGTCTTCTAGGCAGCATCTACGCTGCAGAATGAATGCAGTTAGACACCACTTTAACTACCATGGCTCAGTGCTATGAAATTCTAGGAGGTGTAGTTTTGCAAAGTTTTGAGCCCTCTCTTCCAAAGAGTGCTGGTGTCCCATCAAAAAAACTACAAGGAGAATCCGGTGGCGCAAAACCCTTGTGCCAGCAAGACTGCTTGACTGAAAGGTCGGCGGTTCGAATCCAGGGAGCAGGGTGAGCTCCAATCTGTCAGCTCCAGCTTCCCACGCAAGGACATGAGAGAAGCCTTCCACAAGGAAGGTAAAACATCTGGGCGTCCCCTGGGCAACATCCTTGCAGATGGCCAATTCTCTCACACCAGAAGCGACTTGCAGTTTCTCAAGTTGCTCATCACACCAAAGAAACCCAAACTACAGATCTTATTCCACAGCCATGGCAGTTACAGTGGTCTCAAGCTGCATTCATTCAACAGTGTACAGCCATCTTCAGTCTGCTCCTTCCCACAGAGTTGTTGTGGGAAGAAGTGAGAAGTGCTCTATCTGCTGCTTAGAGCAAAAAGGTTTTTTGGTCGAGTCAGAAGCAACTTGAGAAACTTCAGGTTGCTTCCAGAGTGAGAGAATTGGCCATCTGCAAGGACATTGCCTAGGGGACACCCGGATGTTTTGATGTTTTACCATCCTTGTTGGGAGGCTTCTCTCATGTCCCCACATGGAGAGCTGGAGCCGACATCTGCACTCTCCCCAGATTTGAACCTGCAACCTGTTGGTCTTCAGTCCTGCTGGCACAGGGGTTTAACCCCTGTGCCACTGGGGGCTAATGCAAAAAGGTAACATTGGAGGAAAAGTGTGTGGGGGTGCATTTAATTAATCTTAAAATACACAGTTGCACACACACTGCCAAATCTGCATGCATGCATATACGTATGTGAGATGACCAAGAAATAGCAGGTGCTGCAGACCACATTTCAGAGGAAGGAGCTAGCAGAACCAACTCTGAGCATGCCTTGTCTAAGAAAATCCTATAAAAGAATCATGGGTTGCAATAAGTTGACTTGAAGGCGCATGCAATCAGCCCTCCATATCCACAGATTCAAAATATTTCCTCCCCCGCCCCACATAGTAAACAAACAAACAAACCCCAAAAGGCAATTTTCTATGCCATTGTAGGTAATAGGACTTAAGCATCCAGAGATTTTGCAATCCATGGAGGTCCTGGAACCAAATCCCAGAATATAGGAAGGGCCCACTGTACACGCACACACAAGCATTAGGACAAATGTTTCTGGGAGCACACTGTCAATTCTTCCAGCTCTGAAATAGCCCTTGAAATCTGCTCATGTCAGTCCACCATGCACAGGAAAAAGAAATCAGATCTCAGCAGAGATGTCTTTTGGCAGCTCCTGAGGATAGCTTTCTACAAACTTCCTGTATGTATCTTTTAGGACACAGACATTGAAACATTATTTCCTATACCTTAGTTCAGATGTGAACCAAAACAGAATCAGAAGAAGACTGAAGGCCCTTCCAGGCAGGCCCTATATCCCAGGATCTGATCCCAGGTTTTCTGCTTTAAACTGAATTATATGAGTCTCCACTGCCAAATAATCTGGGATAAACAGAAAACGTGGGATCAGATCCCGGGATATAGGGCCTGCCTGGAAGGGCCCTGGGACATTGACAGGCAGTCATGAAGGAACTCGAGGAGGTCCCTAAGTGTAAAGATATGCGTATCAGTAAATCCCAAGGTCAGGCTCATCCAGGCCACAAGCCCAATTACTATGCATGTGCATGAAAGTTGAGAAAGTTAACAGGGAGGGAATTGACTTATTTGAAATGTGGTGCTGGGGAAGAGCTGTATGGATACCATGGACTAGTCAAAGGACAAGTGAAGGGGTCTTGGAGCAAATCATGCCTGAACAGGAAGTGAAAATTACTAAAATGAGGCTGCTATACTTTGGGCATGAAACAATATGACTCATAGAAAAGACAATAATCTTTGGTAAAGTCAAAAACAGTAGGAAAAGAGAGAAACTGCAGCACAAGTAGATCAATTCAGTCAAGAAAGACATTAACCTGAATAAAGAATTGTTGATGACAGATTTGGAATTCTCTCTCTTCATAGGGTCTCTGTTAGTCCAAGTTAACTAGATAGCTAATAACAACAACAACCCCCCATTGGGTGCCGTCGTTGGCAGGGGGCTTAACTGCATCTATGATGCCGAGAGCTGTGCTGGTGGTAGTGTAAACTACCAGTAGGTTCAACCAAGCCAATGTGGTCTTAACTGAGAAGCAGAACTAAGTGCACCCAACTCATTTAAATATGGTGAAACAAACTCTAAAGAAATCTATACTGGCTCAGTCATCGTCCAGGATAATAAGGACTGTGATGAGTGCTTCTCCTGGGCACCTGTTGACAAGTGGACTACAGGAACCAGGACCCACTGCTAAGCAACCTGGGCATGGGCTTGTAGGGCAACTGGAAGCAAAACAACTACAGAAGTGGCAGAAATTTTATCAAACTGCAAAGACTTTGGCACAAGCCAGTAAAGGTGGTCCCAGTGGTGATTGGCACACTGGGTGCAGTGCCTAAAGACCTTGAAACACAATCGGTACTGACAAAAATTAGCATTTGTCAGCTGCAAAAGGCCACCCTACTCAGATCTGCACGCATTATTTGCTGATACATCACATAGTACTAGACACTTGGGAAGTGTCTGACGTGTGATCCAATCCAACAGCCAGCATGTGGTGGTGGACCTCAAATTTGACAGCTGAGGTGCAGAAAGGAAGCCTGTGGCACACAAGTTGCCCCCCAATTCCCTTGCTGCAAACCCTTTGTGTGCACCATTCCTCAAGGCATCTCCCTCACATGTTGAGGAGGAAAGTGCAGAGCTGTGGGCCACGCAGCAAATGAACATGCAGGTTCCTTTAAAAGCATGCAATTCTGCTTCTTTTGTGTCTGCAGGACTTCAGAGCTGGGTGTGACTATTATCTCAGAGACAGGAGGTCCTTGGCTACAATCTCATCACAAGTCAAGGTTAAGTCACCACTGCCTCAGCCACTCTGCACCTGCTCTGAGTAGGAGAGCATGCGCTTTCCTTTGCAAAGATGGCAATGCATTTCCAGGAATCTCCAAGTTGGTCTGGTAAAGCTTCCTGTCTCATTCCTCAGAAGACTGCTCTCACTCAGAAAAGACAATATTAAAGGGTGTTTGCACTGCACACTTACATCAGTGCGATACCATATTAATTGCCATGGCTGTTTTCAAAGGAATTGTGCAGTTTGTTGAGATACTTGAAAGGTATCATGGTACTCCGAGATGAAAGGGACTGAAGATGAAATCACTTTGAACCCATAGCGTTGATAGGAACATGGTATTTTGGGAACTGGGATGGGAACTACACTACCATATAATGCAGTTTAGAAGTGCATTGTATGGTCAGTGTAGATCAGTGATTCTCAACCTGTGGGTCCCCAGATATTTTGACCTTCAACTCCCAGAAAACCTAACAGCTGATAAACTGGCTGGGATTTTTAGGAGTTGTAGGCCAAAACACCTGGGGACCCACAGGTTGAGAACCATTGGTATAGACCCATAAGACCCATATAATGCATCTCAACTGGTTTGAACTGCACTATATGGGTCCGCTACACTGATCATATAATACACTTTCAAGCTGCATTATATGGTTGTGTAGATACAGCCTGTGATTCAGGTGCACAAACAGAAAATCTCACCAAATTCCAGGATTCCATTGGATTGTACCATGGCAGGTATAGTGCTATAAGACACCTATGACAGCGTTAACTATACAGTTATTCTGAAATGAACATGATATGCTTTCATCATTTCTGGCGATTGGCACTAGATATGATATATGAGGGTGCAGGTGATGAAATAGTTCATGTTTTGTTCCTTTATTTCTATATGATCTGTACTTCTTGAAACATTTTGCCTTGTAGAGGTCTGGGCCAAACTAGAAATCTTTCAGTGCAATGTGGCAAAAAGGACTGGGACTGCACCTCAGATGGGGACTTTGGGCCTAGACTGTATTATCATCACATTTTCTGTTGGAGGCCTTTTAGTTATGAGGTCAAAGACTCAGTTCAGGATAAGATTGAGATTGTATCCAAGGGGCACAAGACTTGCCAGTGGAACAACAGCAAGACCAGGATTTTCTGGGTGTGCTATCAGTTCTCCAGTTCAGGTTGACACTCCTGTTCTCCAGTTGTTGTCATCCTCAAATATTGCTGTGAGTTTTGTAGACTTCAAAAGGCATGTGAATAACCACATCACAGTGGCTAAATCTACCATTTATCTTTGATACCCCAACATATGGTCTCAAATCTTTCACATACTTGGTTTTCTCCAAGTAGGAGTGGTTGGGGTATGAATAATTCTGAGTGGTTATTTTATTTATTTGTTGTGTCAGGGTAACCACCAATTATATTACATTTCTAACAGAGCAAAGCAAACAAACAGACAAAATACAAAATTTGTGAGTT